TGCCCAGCATGATTTTTCCCCTAGGCTCAAGTCTAACCCACTATCTGTGGCATTCTTTCATTGATGTGTTTTTATTTATAAGACCTATAAAAGACAAAAAAATGTTAACTGAATTGTCAGTATAACTTTTAAGTGGCATACTTATAGTATAAAAGTGTTGAAATTGATAAGACAGCTTATTCTATATTTTAAAATGGAAAGAGGCAAAGAGAGAGTGCAGAAGCATGGCCGTAATGTATATAGATATTTTTCTTTCTCTAAATGATAAAATGTAAGTATAATTCTCACGGGTACCCTTCAGTTATTTTATTGAGCAATTATAGTTTCCTTACATACGTTAAGTTTTTTATATTTCAAAAAGCCATCCATGAATCTGTGAAGATGGCAGGCTATGTAATGATTCCCCCACTTCTTTGTTACATAAGCTCAGGGGGTCTGAGGAATGTGCTTTTGTCCAATAGCTAGCAAGATACAAACCTAGGATTAGAACTTGAAACTTCCATTTTACTATCCAGACCTTTCCCCTGGGCAGAACGCATGCTACTTCTATCGAAGGTGCATCCATGTCCTTTGTCATGTACTGACAGTCTTCTGTACCTCCAGTTTGGATTTCATGAAATTGTAAGGTTTGGTAGCCAACCCTTGACTGCCCCAAGAGTTGGCTCAGTTGGCCAACTTAACAAGCTTAGTCATTTCCCATCAACCAAGCTCCAAGCAAGCAGTGGTCACAGATACCAGAGCCTGAGCAAACCTTATCTAATTTAGGAATCATTAAGGGGACAGCAGTCTAGTCCCAGGCATCAAGACCAAGAGCTTGCGATGTAGAGAGAGGAAGAGAGCAACTTGCACGCTGAGTGGTCCTTTTCTAGACTTGCACACTGAGTGGTCCTTTTTTAGAAGGCCAAAGTCAAGAAAGAAGCTTTTGCTTTCACAGAATCGGTTGATGGGAAAGAAGCAGGGTTTGGGTTGTTTAAATGATTCTTTAACTCACTTGTGTTCATGTAACCTACAGCTTCTGCAAATTCCCAGGCATTATCTTTATAATGCCCTGGGGTCATCACAAAGACCACTTATCACACCAGCTCTTATTTACCTTATATTTATGCAAGTCTTTTATTTTGAGAAGATTCTTTTCAGTATATACAGTGCTTATTCATTCTGCTTTGATATTTACTTATTTTGTTTTCATTTCATATTCCAATCACATCTCTCCCCCTCTTCTCGGCCCCCTTTAGGTCCCCCCAGTTCACCCCCCATTTATTTCCCCCAACAGGTAAGGGCTCACATGGGGAGCTAATAAAGTCTGGCACATTAAATTGGGGCAGGACCAAGCATGGCATCCCACCACTGGGGATGGGCTCCATCAAATTAGCTCATGTGCTCGGGATAGATCCTGGTCCTACTACTAGTGGTGCCTCAGATGGTCCAAGCTTCACCACTGTCTCCCATATATGGAGGGCATAGTTCGGTCCCATAGAGGCTCCACAGTTGTCAGTCTAAAGTGTTGTGAGCCACAAACATTATACAGTAGAAGTACAGCTGACAGATCACTAGGCAAACTCACAGGAGTAGTGAGGAACCTTTTCGCAGAGCCTCAGGAACACCTGTTTTCCGAATAGTCACTGTCAATTCTGTAGAAATCTTGTGAAGCCATAGCTTTCCTCCTTTCCAACGTGGGACTCATCCTGAAACATCCCATCAGTGTATAGATCCTCCCTTCGACATGACTATTCCTGTACTGGTGATTGGATGACCTTGCCTCACACTGTGGGGCACTGGTGTGAAAGCATTCTCTCATTCAAACCTTTGTTCTCATAATCAATCCACATAAAGCTAGCCCCATCCTTAACTAAGCCTCCTGGCATCTACAGGGGAGCTTCACAGCCACACCCACTCTGAGAACTGGTGCCCACTCTCTTTGTCAGTCTTTTCTCCATCTTGTTAGACCTAAGAAATACATGCTAGGTATCATTGGTTTTTTTTTTTTTCCCCAGAGAATTGCTAACCATTCTGTGTTAATTATATAAACTAGAAACCTCCCAGTGGGACTGGGAGGAACATCGGAGAGGAACATCGGAGAGAAATATTGAAAGGGAACAGCAATGAACAGCGTGGAACATGGAGAGGAACATCGAGAGAATCGGAGAGAGCATTGGAGAGACAGACCATGGGAAGAATAAATAAAACTTGATGAAAAGGCTCATGTGAGTTAACTTATTCACCCTCAGGGTTTTTAGAGTGTTCGCCTGCCACAGTGGTCCTTCTGAATCCTGAGAGGTATGGGGTGCTGGCATCCCCATATAAACCTCAATATTAGAGTGTAGTAGGAGGGCTCACTTGTTGGTTCCTGGCCATCTGGCTAGCTTAGACCTGAAATAATCACACAGAAACTGTATTAATTAAATCACTGCTTGGCCCATTAGCTCTAGCTTCTTATTGTCTAACTCTTACATCTTAATTTGATCCATCTCTATTAATCTGTGCATCACCAGGAGGTCGTGGCCTACCAGCAATGTTTCAGCACGTCTATCTTTGGCGCTGGCTCCATGGCGTCTCCCTGACTCGGCCTTCTTCCTCACAGCATTCTGTTTAGTTTTCCCCGCCTAGCTCTGTTCTGCCTTGCTATAGGTCCCAAGTAGTTTCTTTATTCATTAACCAATAAAAGCAACACGTAGACAGAAGGCCCTCCCACACCACTAGAGTTCATGAGTTTCCCTGAGCTTGGCTCAGCTGTCTCTGTAGATCTCTCTACCATGATCTTCATCTCCCTTACTTGTATAGATTTTCAGAGCTCGGTCTGGTGCTCTGTTGTGGATCTCTGAATTTTTACCGTGATTTTTGAGATACTTCAGTTTACCCCAGCCTCTAGCTTTTTGTTTTCTTGTATCTGTTTTTGTTTAAACTTTATTTCATGTGCACTAGAGTTACAGACAGCTGCGAGCTGCCATGTGGGTGCTAGGAATTGAACCTGGGTCCTCTGGAGGAGCAGTCAGTGCTCTTAACCACTGAGCCATCTCACTAGCCCCTTGTATCTGTTTTTTTTTAAATGGATGGATGCTTAAACATATTTGTGGAGTACACAATAAGATTTTGATACATTTATATATTGTATAATAATCAAATGAGTGCCGCCTTCTTCATTGATTTTTTTTTGTGGGAAAAACGTTTAAAAATTTTCTAACTAGTTAAAAATATCCAAGATAATATAGTTAACCTGTTTCTCGTTATTATCATTATTATTTTCAATTTTTAAATTTTATTTCAAATAAATAATTAAATATTTTTATTTTAATACAAAAGCAAGGCTGTAGAGCACTGCTATAGATCGGGAGCAGTGTATTGCTGTGGCATGGACGAGGCTGAGGTTAAATCCCAGAGCCACTAAATAAAGAAATTCACATAAGATTTTGATTTTGCTGTCCCATGGAGGAAGGACTCTGGATACAGGATGACTCTCAGCTAAGAAGCCTGACCTCTGTTATAACCAGGAGACTCTAAGCTCAGAGATCCATGTCTCAGGCCTCTCAGCAATAGCCAGAAACCAAGAAGCTAGAGGTGTAAATGGGAATATTTTACTAAGTGTAAGAAACACACACACACACACACACATACACACACACACGTGTACGTGTATGCTTGGTTGGGGGCCTCCATCTAATGCCACACATGTTATTGCTTTTTGTCTCCGTCTGGTAAAAAGACGAAGGACGACTCTTGTTTTCTCCCAGAGCTATTGCTTAGACAAGGACTTGGCATTTATTTAATAAAAGATGTGACTAAATTGTGTCCCTTACGGTTATTTCAATGCTTCAAACCTTATAACCCAAATAGGCTCTGACTCTAACAGAAAAAAATAAAAACCAGAAATAAAAAAATGAGAAAAATAACATCTGGGCCCATCTGTACTGTGCACAGCTTTTCTGATCCCAGGATAGCTCTCCATGTAGACAAGCTTTGCTTTCACTGTCTGGGGTCATCCTTTCTGAACAGGAATGGCAATTCTGTGCTGTCCACGCAGAGAGTGCCAGGGAATGACTGAGTCTCCCCCATCCACAGAGAGAAGGAAGAACTCCGTCTTGCACACAAAGCTTTCTCTCTCCTGTAAATTTCATGCGGTGGTAGAATTGCACTTGCTTTCGGCCAGATGCATCTTCTTCACACCTGGCAGGGATCTAGACCTGAAATTACAAGATTTATTTCCTCTTAATTCTATTATGAGGCATTTAAGTCACAAATACCCCCAAAATGAAACGATCATTTATCATCTTGCCCTGACTGAGCACCTCTCCTCCGCTGACATTCATGAATCCGTAATGCCGAGAGGAGACTGGATGATTAAGTGTCCGATTAGAGAAAACAGATTAACCTGGCAAACGTCATAAATTTAGCTCATAAGCAGGATGGCTTTATAAATGCTCACGCTAACTCTCCTGTATAAAATCTTACACCGCCTCCCTCTGTGATGGCTCAATTCGAGCGGCTAAGGATAAGATCCCAAAGGACATATCTGATCCGGTTCATAGCTAAAAGGGAGCCGTGAAAGAAAAACACTAACTCACGAAGAGCACACCTCCGGCCTCTCACGGACTCTCATTTTCCCCGTCGCCACGTGAAGGTCCCAGATGCCTCTTTACGGATGACTTTCTATGCACTCTGTTTAGGTGTCGCAGCTAACCCTGAGCTGCAGACCCAGGAAACGGACCCACAGCCATCTAAACAGAACCCGATCCCTTAACGACCGAGCAGCTGACTACCAGAGAGTTGGTTCTCCCATGTGACCAACGTGGAAGTCAGCAGCTCGTGTTTTGCATGGCTGGGGGTGGCTTTGGGTTGAAGTTCCGTGTATACCAGTGCACAGATCTCGGCTGTGACTCGTTTTAAGCAAAGTCCGGTGCAGCTGTCCGAAGAGCTCAGAAAGCAGTCTGCCCCTCCTCCCCTGGCTGGAGTTCCTGGGCAGGTCTTTTAAGCCGGCACGGGGGGGGGGGGGGGGGGGGGGGCAAGGGAGATCCTTGTTATTCCACAGGTATATTTTTAGCCTCAATGGCTGTTTTTTCTGAAGTCTTGTCCTGCCTGCTCTGCCTGGCCTAAAGAGTCAGAAGTCAAGCTGAGTAAGAGACCTCTTCTGTTGAGATCCAGAACATCTTCAAGGGCAGAGGAAGATGCCTCTTGTCCTTCATGAAGGCCAGCCCCATCCCATCACAAGCCAGGTAATTTCCCACTTGGGAAAGCAGGACCCAAGATCTAGGGGATGGAGGACCCCCTTTTACCCTTTCTCCTTCTCTTTCCCCCACAATGAAGTTGCTTTTGGCATGTGGGTAGGGTCATGGCTAGTCTGTCCTCCCTGGCCCCTGGTCTCTAGGAGAGTCTAAGTAAGACTGCTTTGGGTGCGTAGATGCAGGTGTGGGTGAGTCACGGATATCCCTACAGTAACCCATCTTCCACTCTTTGTTGGGCACAGATCTAGACATTCTTTAGGATGCAGGCAGAGGAGACAAACCTTTGGCCCAAAAGGAATCCGCGTCCAGCTCTGTCCCTGTATCCCTTGTGTCCATAATGACTATACCCAAACATTTCTGGGCTCCACACAACATGATACTCTTGAAACTGTAACACCCAGCAAGGCCAGAGCTTGATAGCACAAAAGTTTGTCCCAGGAAGGTCCTGGTTGCTGAGAGGATGAAACCAAGCAGACACCAGGCTGGGGCTGAGCTGTGAGCAGGTTTGTGTGTCTGCACCAGCTGACTTGGAGGGCCCACCGTGTTTGTCAGGCAGGCATCGAGGTAGGAGCGGGTGGGGCTGTGGGGACGACTAGCAGGTGGGATTGGCAGCCCAGAACCTCAGTGTATGCCGAGGATTTTCAGAGTCCGGGCCTGCGGAACACACGGAGGATGTGGGGGTTTCTGGCCTGCGGTGTGCACGGAAAATCCGGAGATCCCAGACTTGTGTCCTGTGCAGGGGATCTGGGAAGGGCTCAGGATTGGGGCGAGCGCGGAAGACCGGGCCCTGGGAGCCTAGGACCCGCGGTGCAGTGCAGGAGCCTAGCAGGCGCGCGCCAGGAACCCGCGGAGGGGAGCAGGGGTTGGCGCGGGCGCGGGCGCTGGCGTTGACGCTGCGGGAGGGCGACTGTGGCCTAGGCGGTGGCCTTGGCCTCGGGTGGTGCGGATGAAGTCGCCCAGGAGCTGCTAGTGGCGCCGCAGCGAGGCCTGGGAGAGCCTGGGAAGCCCGCCGCTGCCTCCAGGGCCACAACATTAGCCAGCTTGAGCAGGGAGGTGCGTTGGGGGAGGGGAGGGAGGCGCTCTGGGCGCTAAGCAACCTTGTTTAGACCCTGGATCCGAAGGAAAGTTCAGAGGCAAGGGAGTACCTGACGTCCATCATCCAGTCCCCTCTTTTTATAAATGGGGAGCAAGGGGATTAAAGAGACCTGCTTCCAAGTCGGGAAAACTGTTGAGAGGCAGAACAGAAATTGGAAACTCAAACCGCTCTGCAGGGCCGATTTCTCAGCTGTCTTCTCACCTCAGTAGTGACGACAAATAGGTGACAGTATTGTCTTAAATCTTGAAACCGTCGGTGATATTATTCTTTGGCAGTTAGTACTATGATTATAACTCTGGTTCTGGAAAAACGTGAACAGGTCTCGAGTTCTCGGTTCCTTTTTCATTTAACATTTACTGGGCGGGTATTTGTGCCCGGCACTGTTCTAGAAACTAAACCTCTAGAGAAAAACAAGAATCAGCCTTCGGTATAGGAAAGCAGAGAAGGTCCCCAGACACCAGTTACAAAGGCAGGTTCAGGAACGGGATGGGTGAGAAAAAAAAATAGAGCGTACCAGGGAAATTCAGGAGGTGTCATTATGGCACGCTGAGAGGCACGCTGGGGACAGGGGAAGGGGTCAGAAGATGGCATCCTGACGGGATCTAAATTAAAGAGAAATAGGCCAAAATTACTATGGAGGCAGTACTAGGGAGCCTAGAAGGATTCAAAGCCCAGTATGGCTGTGCTATGCCTGAAGGGTGTTTGGAATAGATCTGTCCCCAAATGAAACCTGTCAGGTGCAGGTTAAATGCTGGTTTAAGGATCCATGCTTCCCCAAGGTCTGAGTGTAAGGCATTCTAGACACCCTCTTCACAGAAGCCTCCCAGTGTGGCACTGCTATGGTTGGAACTGGGAAGCCATCCGAATCTAACTGGGAAACTCCTGGAGACTGGAAAGCCAGTGGAATGGTAGTGATGGCGTTTCTTGCTTCCGCTTCCGGTAACATTCTTGGAGGTAGACAGTAAAAAGTTCTCCTACAACACAGACGGCCTTGTGGACACCTGAGCAGCACTCGTGAAATGTCCCTAAACCCGGCTCTGCACAGGGCACTTGTTTCTTTTGATGTTTCCCCAGATACATCTGACATTTCGCACTAAACAGCAGCCCGTTTTTGTAATTGAAAACTAAATCTGTCGTCCAAGATGGAGTGCCTATGTTCAAGTCAGTCTTCGTTATACACCCCACGGTTCTGTGCAAGGGAGCTGTTGAGTAAATCACAGCCCCTTGCCTAAGGTCTGATCCTGGAAACCACAGAGATGGGTCTAGCACCACCTGGAAAGGCTTCCAGAGCGGAAGAGAAAAAGGGACTCCCCAGCAAGGCTTCCTTGGTTCATATGTCTTTGTGCTTTTGAACCTTCTCCCTGCAATGGACCTCCGAGAAGAAAGAAAGTTGCAGTGATTTTTTTTAGCAGCATTTCCTCTGATTAATTATTAATTATATTCAATGGTGTAAAAGAGCATGAAATTGGCATAGGAAGATAGACTTGAAATTGAATTTCAGACTTGTCACACTCTGCCTGCTTGACTTCAGGCCTGGCATGAACTCAGCTGGTCTCTACAACACAGTCACCATTCCAATCCTTCGGCAGCCATGTTACAGCCCCACCGCTTTCCCTCCCATCATTTTCTTAAACCCCCAAACCACCATTTATCCCCTAAGTTTTTAATGTTGTCATTTCAAGAACATTACAGGCTGGAGTCACAAGGAATGCAACCTTCTGATACTGTTTTGTACTTTTAATTTTTATTTTTTTTCCACTCAGCATAATTCTCTGGAGATTAATTCAGGTTTTGTTGACAAATATTAGTTGTGCATATTAAAAGTATTATCTTTCTATATATTTGTAGAGTATACACCAGTTCAGGCACTTCCTCTGGTACCAATCAGTTCCAATTGTTATTCTACTTTCAAATAGACTTTTAAAGCATCCTTATGAAAAAGAATATGCAGAACTTGCCTTTTTTAATGTCTGTCTTATTTCATTTATTTGTTTTCTTGGACTGTGTTTTTGAAATTTTTCATATATCCTGGATGACAGCTCTTCCTTGCCAAACATATAGTTTACAAATATCCTCTCCCATCCTGTGGGCTGTGTTTTCATGCTTTTGCATGCTTAACTTACTGTTTGGAAGCTTTTAGTTCTGTGTAATCACACTTGGCTGTTTTTGTTGTTTCCTATGCTTTGGGCTGTCCCATCCAGAAAATCAGTAGCCATGTTTAAATCCTGAAATACCTCCTGGGTTTTCTTCTATGACTTCTAGAATTTCTGGTCTGCTATTAGATCTTTGACCCACTTTGAGCTGACTTTTAGATCAACCTCCTGTACATAAATGCTAGATTTAGGAATGGTCTCAGCAATTATTTCATTGGACAGATTTTTCAGTGCCTTTACTTTTCATCTTTTCTGGTATTCCATCTGATATATAGATGATATAGATATAGATAGACAGACAGATATATAGATACAAATATAGATAGGTAGCCTTCAAATTCACATACTGTCTCTTCCACCAGGTCTAGTCAGTTGTTGAGGCTTTCCAGGGTTATATATTTTATTTGATTCATAGGCTTCCGTATTTCCAAGGTTTCTGCCTGGTTCTCCCTGCAGAATTCTCATTTATATCCTAAGTTGTCTGCCTAATTTCATGTAGCTGTTAATCTGTGTTCTTCAGGATCTCATTTTGATTATCTTATAATCATTCTTTGAGATTCCAACCACTTTAATTTCTTATGAATCTGTTGCTAGAGAATTACCACATTCCTTTGGAGATATCATATTATCCCCTTTTCATATTTTTGTGCTCTCACATCGAGATTTACACACTTGCTGGGCCAGATGTCTCTACCACCTTTCAGGGGTGACCTTGGTAAGTGGCTTTCTCCTGCAGATGTGTCTTGGCATGTCGGTTTGCTTTGCATTGTTGACTTTGATTCTAGCTGATTTGATGCTAGTTTTGTAGTATAGTTTCCCTATCTCTTCCATGGCTTATGAGTTTAGGCATGATACAGAGCGCAGCAGAGTCTTGGACCCATTCTCCCTATGTGCCGTGAGGGTGGAGATACTTTTTCTGTTCTGATGGGTGGAGCATTGACAGTCTGTGTGGATCTACTTCTATTAGTTTCTTGATGGCCCCATCAGGTGTTGATGTTTCCATCCAACTATTGGTCTTCTGCCCCTGGCAAGGAGCCAGGACTCTTAGAGTGGGACTCACCGGACTTCTATTGGGGTGCACTTGCCCAGTCCTAATAGCATTAAAGTCAGAATTGAGCAGATGGCAGCCAGACAGAAGTGGGGTAGTAGTAAGAACTCCAGTGTTTCTCTCTGTTGCTTCAATGACTTTCCCTGCCAATAAGTGTGAGGGGCAGAGTTGAGCCACATTTCTCTCAGGAGTTTCTACTTGACTGTGTATGACTGAGATAGGAAGGACTTGGACCTGTGAGATTTCCCAGGACCTTTCCATCAGGCCCCTGTATGCTTGAGAATCATGGGATTCACTTCCCACATTACTCATAATAGGTACATGAATACAAGTCTTGGGAAAAGGGCCTTAGGTACCGTGTGACATCTCCCTTCAATCCTGACTACTGGCCCTCTTCCATACATGGCTAACTATATCCTCAGAGAGCAAATATGCTGGTCTCCGGATGTTCAGAGGCAGCACCTTCTAATCTCCTCTGATTATGGCTCCCAACTTGTACAGATCAGAGTGGGCATCCAGCAGGTTGAGCCGCAGTTCCCCTGCTATGCTATGTTGGGTTCAAGAGGCAGCTATCTGCCAAGCCAGTGCTGGGGAGTGGTTGTGTGATCCAGGAGAAGAAAGTATGCAGAAACGTTTCGATTCCTGAAAACATCAACTCACTTTTCAAGAGAGGTGGTGGCTACCCTACCCTGGGCCTTCCCTAGGGCCATGTGAGATCCATTTCCAAAGCCAGGCTTCTGTGCAGCACTTGGGCTACTAATCTAAATGGGCTGCAAACTGGTCATTCGGTGGCTAGGATTATCAGCCTCCGCATGGATGGAACCTCCTGGAACTCTCTCTTTTACATCACTCCTCCAAAAGGAAGACTCTCTTACCCACACTGTGGAGCTGGGGAGGAGGGTGCTGGGGTGTTTTGTTCCTCTTATTGTTGTTGATGTTTTACTCTTTTGGTTTTTTGGCTTTTTGTCGGGGGGGGGCACCACTCAGTTTCCAAATAAATCACTCACACGGAGGCTTATTCTTAGTTATAAATACCTGACTTTAGCTTGGCTTGTTTCTTGTCAGATTTTCTTAAATTATCCCAACTACCTTTTGTTTCTGGACTTTTATCTTTCTCTGTTTCTGTATACCTTTCTTTACTTCTTTCTCCATGGCTTGCTGTGTAGTTGGGTGTGTGGCCTCGGGTGTCCTCCTCTCCTTGTTCTCTTGCTCCTCTTCCCCTTGTTTCTCCTCCTATTTCTCCTCTCCGCAGGCCAATCCCGCCTAGCCTTTCTCCTGTCTTGCTATTGGCCATTCAGTGCTTTATTAGACCATCGGGTGTTTTTGGACAAGCAAAGAATCACAGCCTCACAGAGTTAAAAAAGCAACACACCTTCAAATAATATTCCCCATCATCTTACTATGGCCCCACGTGTCTGAATTGTACAGACTGCAGCTTCTGTCCTGAGGATTCCCACTACTCTCTGATAGCTGTTGGCCTGTAGAAGGGGGGTGCATATTGGGCATTTCCTCTGATTTTTTAATAAGACACTCTTGGTTTTAGAAATACTTATTAATTTACTTTTTAAATTTATGCCTCTGTGTGTGTACCTGTGTGACGTTATGGGCCTGTGATGATGTCCTGGAACTGGAGTCACAGTGAGCTGCCTGATGCGTGTTCTGGGAACCAGACCCAAGTCTTTTCCAGAGCATCAGGTGCTCTTAGCCACAAGCCATTTCTCCGGCCCCACGTAGTAAGCGTTTCAATTCAGCCATCTTGAATCTTGAGAGAGTGCAAGTGTTGGTTGCCATTCACCCATTGAAGGTGAGCGGAGCTGTTTGAAGCTATTAGGAATAAATCCACTGTAAATATTTGCATACCAGTTTTTGTTAAACATAAGTCTTCTTTGGCTTCATCCCTTGGTAGATGCTTAAAGATAAAATTACTGGATCATATCTTGGTAACAAGGTAAAAATGTAAAGACACAGGCAATGTGTTTCCAGTGTGACTGGATCATTTTGCGCTCCCCCTGGCAATAAACCAGTGAGCCAGTGATTCCATATCTTTGCCAGAGTTCGATATTATCTCTCTCTTCCATTTAAGCTGTGCTGAGGGACATGGAGAAACGTTCCATTGTGGCTGTAATGCACATTTCTCTAATGGCTAGTAATGAATACGACTTGTTTGAAATCTGTTTAATTTCTGAAATATGAAAGGTGTCTTCGTTTCTTCTCTTACATCCTAATTGAACTGTTTGCCTTTCCACTGTTGAATTTTGAGAAATTTGTTTATTCATTTATTCCTCTTAATTATGTGTGTGAAGAGGTGGGGTTGGGTTTATGCCCATGAGTGCACTGTCCACAGAGGCCAGAAGAGGGCATCAGATAATCTGAAACTGGGATCACAGGCGGTGCTGAGTCTTCTGATGAGGATACTAGGAACTGAACTCAGGCTTCTCCAAAGCAGCCTTGTCCCTGAAACCACCAAGCCACCTCTCCAGCTGCATCCTGGGAGGTCTACATGTATTCTTGAGGCTGTCTTCACTTTTGCACTGTGAATATTTGTAATTTTGAGGATAAACAGTCTATTGAGTTTTCCTTCTACAGATCATATGTTTGATGGTAAATATAAGTACTCTACCAGCTTTTAACACCAAGGCCTTTTTTCCTATTTCTCATGTGTGTGAGACATAAGATCTAAGCTGAAGTCTATTGGTGGTGGTGGACTTGCTTCCACTAAGGATAACTCAATTACCCCAGCACCAATTGCTGAAAATCTATTGTGAGACAACAGATGATTCTCATTGGTTGAAACTGTTTGCTGAGTTCACTTTTCTTTATTTTAAGAAACAACGGCTTTGAACCTGGACCTGCGAGCTGTTATTTCAGCTACACTGAAGTTCTGCGATCCCGGACGTGACGTTGAGGAAAGTGGTAAGCTAATAGTATCCGAGGTTCCGTCTCACACCCACTTGCTAGAATGTGGAAGAGGTCAGTGTGAGAACTCACACTCCCCTCACATGTGAGGGTTCCTCTCTCAGCTTCTGGAGGGTTACTCCCATGGCTTGCTTGTTCTGCCATCTCTTTTTCATAAATTATGATAGACTTTGCACTCTATAAGTCAGGTTTCAGACCATATGTCAGAGAATGAAGAACATTAGATATTAAAGCTCTACCATGAAGTCACCCATTCCACAAAGTCATACTACACGTTTCAGAGACAGAACAGGGACCAAGTCACATACGAAACATGGTTCAGTATAAAGCAGACAATAGCATGTCTTACCTACCTGTGAGTTCCTGCTGGTTTTCTCAAGGTGTTCTTGAGAGTAGTAGTTCATTCACAAGGGATACTTTCCACGGTTTGTTGAGATAAATAAGTCATTCTACTTGTTATGTCCATCTTTGTTGTGGTGGTAGTTGTGTTGTTGTTTGGTTTTTCAAGACAGGGTTTCTCTGTGTAGCCCCGGCTGTCCTGGAACTCACTCTGTGGACCAGGCTAACTCAGAGATCCATATGCCTGACTTCTAAATGAGGCAACTGAGGCTCTGCCTGAGTGACCTGCATAGTAGCGGAACCTGCATGTGACAAGTAGAATTCAGGGAGTTTCATCAAAAAGTTGGAGTGGAAAAGACAGCCTTTTATCTGTGAAATGGGCTAATAGCATAATAAACTCAAATAGAAAGGAAAGTTTCGCAGTTCAATAGGGTTAATCAAGATAACGTTTTATGAAGCTTGTTACGTTTCCAAGTATCCCCTGTTCAAATGGTAGTTATTAATAGACACTTGGCTAGAATAGGCTTCGATTTCTGCAGGCTATTGGGGGCTTGCTGATTTGTACTCATGGAAAATATGTTTGTTTAGATCATAGTACAGTACTTGTTTTTCCTAGTAGTGACCAAATTGTGAACTTCCAAATTAAGTAAGATGCAAAAAAAAAAATTGAGAGGATGGCTCGACTTAATGCTTCATATAATTGTTTCAGTAGTAGTTTTTCAACAGAAGGACTGTTACATGTGGCTGTGTTTCTGTGACAGTGTGGTGAGCGAAGACGTCAACAGACAGCACGCACATACTCAGGGAAACACCCTCCAAATGTTGACTGTTGCTGGAAAAAAACATCAGACTTCTAGAGTGCCAAGAAAGACAGAAAGGAAGGAAGGGAGAGAGAGAGAGAGAGAAAGGAAGGAAGGAAGAGTGTATTCCCAAGTCCTTAGCCTGTGCTATTACAATCGTAATTTAGGTGAGTTTGGAGTTCCTAGCACTTGCGTTTCTTTGGTGGGGAGCCTGCAGAGCTGCAGAAGGGGGATATGGTAAGGAACATGTATCATTGTGGAGTAGAGGCTACGCATGTGTATGACACATAGTCTTTCTTTGATTGTGGATGCACGCACACGGCTTCCTCTTGCTGACTCTTTCTATTTCTGTGAGCGCATAGAAAGCGTAACCTCTACAAAAGCCAGCTGTCAGAGCCCTGTGTGCCTTTCAAAGGGTATCCACTCAGAGGGAGGAAATGCTGCCACCTTGGACGTTCCAGGCCTTGTTCATCAATGCAGTGAGCTTCTCCACTTGGCAAACTGGCTGCTTCTGCGGCAGGCCACCTTGCACTGTTTCTGGAATCACAAGTGAAACAGGAAGGGACGGGGTGGGGCAGGTTGTCATGGTTACCGTGGCAAAAAGATGTAGCGGGTGGAAGCCAGAGTCTTAAACACGCCACAGGACAGAGCACATTCTGAACTTGGAAGAAGTGTTCCGGAGCCTGCACTGCACCTGAATGTCTGGCTTGACATCCATCTGGCTTGTAACTTGTCCCTGCTTAAAATATAATGGCAGAGTGAGTTTTGCGGTACAAGATAGCTCTTACATATTTTAATGTTCACAGTGCTCAGCATCCACCCACACTCCTGCTTCTTAGTTGTACTGTGCAGCACATAGACTCCCAAAAGAATTCTAATCTTAGACTCTTGACCCCCGACTTCTTCACACAATGAAAGCAAGGGCAGACCGATACTTTCTAGTATTTTTAGTACATTTACATATAAAACAAACATACATTTGCTTTCTCTTTATTGTTCCTTCCTGCTCCAAAGAAGACATGCTTTCATACTTAATACTACTGCAATTTTAGGTAGAGGGAAGTTCTACAAACCATGAATTCTAGATTTAAAGAATGATCATGGTAAGGAAGCATTGTTGCGGAGAATTACGTAAGAGCTAATTAGTGCTTGCGTGCTAGCACATAAAGAATCATCCAAAGAAAACATGCTGCGAGTCTGAGTCTGACTCGGGGAGGTCATCTCAGTAACTTCTATATCCCTCTGCTGAAGTGAAAGCCTTCCTTGGACTCTCTGTCTGTGAGTTGTACCAGCAAGACCATCTCTGTGCCTGTCATTGCAGATGGAGTTTAGTGACTGCTTCAGTCTGGCCTGTCCTCACAGCCCTCGCCCAGGAGACTTGATTGAAGTGTTCCGCCCTGGCTATCAGCACTGGGCACTGTACTTGGGTGATGGTTATGTTATCAACATTGCACCTACCGGTAAGATTTGTTCTCAGGGGCCTCTGTGAGCTCTTTGGTTGTTTTGAAATGAAAAGGGATCATGAACAAAATCATAAAGCAGATAAAGAAATCAAGTCCAATGAATTTCAAAAATGATATTCAAAGACCAAGACATCATTTAAGAGATTCCACCGACATAGCCAGGCAGTGGTGGCGCATGCCTTTAATCGCAGCACTCAGGAGGCAGAGGCTAGTGGATTTCTGTGAGTTCGAGGTCCAGGACAGGCTCCAGAGCTACACAGAGAAATCCTGTCTCAGAAAAAAAAATTGCAGAGACTAAATCACACAAAATTAAAAGAAACCCCTATATTTAAAAAAAAATCCTCCTTACAAATAAATGACTGAGGGTGACATTGGCCGCCAATGTAGCTAAGTTCTATGTCCTTATGTCTCACACAAGCGGGTGGTTTTAATTAACTTGGCAGCTATTAATAGGTTGTACAGTATGTGCCGAATGCTACTGTAGGCACCGGGGCTACACAGCTGTATAGACAGCTCCATGGTGGTGCTCACATTTTCACAGACGGAGGGAGAGAGCAAGAGCAAATTATAGATGTATTAGGAAGGATGTGGAAAAATAAGTGGAGAAGGTGGTTTGTGAAGCTCTTAATATGGGAAGATGGGAGGCAGGGAGGGGGAAGGGAGGGGTGCTGCAGTTAGGAAACTTCTGCAAGGAAGCAGCCAGGGAAGTGAAGCTTCAAAGAGATGAGAAAAGTAGTTCCCAGCGTACCTGGAAAATTGGTGACTCTGAGGAGAGACAGCAGCGAACACCATGATCCCAAGTCACAACGAGGAAAGTTTGGAAACACTTGACAAAAGAAGAGAGCAGAAATTTCAGCTTTGTATTCACCTCCAGGTTAGAGACAAAGACACTGACCGATTTTGTGCCCACCTCATTAGAAAGGGATAAAATGACAGTTGGTAGAGACAGAGACAGTGAAATTAGTCCAAGTGTATCGATGGAAACAGAGCGTTCCATTCACAAGACAGCTGAGCAGTATGTGTTAAGAGTCTTAAAGGTTTCTGAAGCTCTGTATCTAATTTTGCTTATGACAGTCTAGGGAAACATTTAGACCTGTGGACAAATTTCATTTCTAATGGTTTAAGAAACAAGACAGTAGCTTAATTTTCAGTTGGGGGGGGGGCTGGCGAAGCACATTATGAGTTAAGGTATTAGGTAACTGTGTTTGTTAGAATTCTCTAGTGTATGTAACAGAAATAAGGCTATCACTAGCCTAAGCAAACAAGCAAAGAGACAGTCTATGGATTCCTGGAAGGAGACATCAGAAAGGGTGGAGCTGGCCTCAGAAGTTTTCAGGAATCTAGACGTGTCTAGGAATGTCATCACATTAGGACCTTCAGATTCGGAAGTCGCTTCCCTTTCCTGGGTGGTGGCGTCATTCCCCTGACTTTGTCACAAACCGAGACTCATGTTCTTAGAGTTTCTGACTCAACAGGAAAGAGCTAATCTGGTCTCCATTTGTTTGAGTTTAAAAATCATGGAGAATGACTCTTAATTGGTCCATTGTGAGCCACAATGCCATTTCTGGAGAATACAATGTCATACAGTGATTGGCTCTGACAGTCATCTGGGGGAAGAAATGGGCCATGGTGGAATGGGTGCTAAAGTCACTATAACAGCCATTTTAAAAGCACATTTTTGGACTTGTTCAACTCCTTATGAAATAGTCTTAATATGTTATTTAAAAATTTCTAGTTCAAGTACAATATGTGACATCATACCCCACTTAAAAAGAATTCTAGGTGTATCTGTGTATGCAACATCTGTTCATGTACACGGCGAACGTCTACCGTATTAGCTGATGCTTGCTGCTCTGTCGGGGAGACCAGTCGTCACAAGTGTATGATGGCCATGCACAACATGATGGCACATGTAGGGAGAGACCAGGGCCTGGCACTAGACCAAGCCGTGAAGAGTCATCTTAGACTCTGTTACTGACACGACAGGACCGGATACAATGCTTCCTGGGTGTGTAGGGAGTGCCTACCAGTAGAGCTATCTCCAAGAGAAGAGTCACAGAGGATTGTGCAGGCAGGGAAGATGTAGCATGGGGCTCCATCCATGTGCAGTGTCTACCGAAGTTAGCTTTGGCTTTAGGACGTTCGTTTGCTGGTCAGACGAAATGACCGAAGAAAAGCGGGAATTTAGCTGCTTCCTCACAGGGCAGCAAGCTTTCCAGCAGGAAATCTGGACTTACATGAAAGCCCAGGGGAGAGCTGGTGTATGAAGAAGTGGGGAGTGCAGTGAGGTGGTTAGGTGAACGTAGCATCATAACTAACCCCTAAGACCTGGAAGACTTCCGACGCTGAGAAGAAACAGGCATCAGAGAAAAATTGGGCAATAATCTTATCCATACCCTGCTAGAACTGCAAAGCTCTCTCATAATAATACCAGTCATTAGAGAACTTACTCCCCACAACCAGGCAGGGAGCCGTATGACATTTGTTTTCTCACTCATAACAGCACTGTAATCAATAGCACAGAGTGCGCAGCTGAGAACAGACGCTTTTGGTTCATTGTGTAAGGAGCAAGGGGTCAGTCTAGGTCTCACGGCGTCTCCGGCATTCCAGATGACACCGTGGACTGGATCCCTTAGCCCCCCTAACTGACATTCTCCCTACAGATGGCATTCCTTCAGCGTTTACAAGCGCCAAGTCTGTGTTCAGCACAAAGGCCTTAGTGAAAATGCAGCTTCTGAAGGATGTTGTGGGAAACGACACATACCGAATAAATAACAAGTACGATACAACACACCGTCCTCTGCCCGTGGAGGAAGTAATGCAGCGGTCCGAGTTCGCCATTGGGCAGGAGGTGGCCTATGATTTGCTGGTCAACAACTGCGAGCATTTTGTGACCTTGCTCCGCTATGGAGAAGGAGTGTCAGAACAGGTGAGTTTCTTTTCTTTTTTCCTTTTTAAGGTGGTGTGAGAAGCTTTTTGTGTTGAGAAAATCCTGTTAGGATAAAGTTCTTAGGCTTCCACCAAAAGGCAAACAAGAAGGACATGTGGAAAGTGGAAAGACTGAAGGGAAGAGGACTCTGTTAAGAATACAGTAAGCTAGTGAAGAGACTAAAACCTGGACATCTTGAAATTTGGGCTGGAAGGGACTTAAAGTAGAATCAAGTCCCTAGCTTCCTGTCAATTTTATTGACTCCTCTTAGACACGGTTTTCTCTATTGCTCCCCAAACGGCAATCTCAAATCAACAACTCCATATATTGAAAATAATGTAACCAAACGGAAGGTAAATGGGGATTAATTTGTAGATTCTTCTCCAGGAAGGAATAGCAATGACCAAGGATATGTCTTGATGGGTTGGTAAATGTCTCCTAGTTCCTTATGACACTAGTTTTCAGTGACATGTTGTGATTTGAAGTAGGTATTTGATTCCCTGAGCTTCTAAATGACTTCTACTATATTAACTGACTGCAGATTAACGTGCAGTCTTGTGGATTTCCAACACTGGTTAGCACTATGGTAGCAGAGTCCCGGCAAAGAGAGCATTCACCTCCCTCGCCTTTACTAAGCCTGTCCTCGGGTCAGTACAGTTCCATCTCTGAGGGTGCAACCCAAGCATCATTAGGGTGATGCAAGAGAAAAAGGGAGCCACTCTTTGTCCAAAATACATTCAAGTGTGTTTTGCTAATGTCTAATGTCTAATCAATAGATTCCTATGGCATTATTGGGAGGTGGTGGAAAGTAGGTAGGGCCTCGTTGGAAGAAGCATGTGGAGGGTGCCTGTGAAGTACGCATCCTGTCTCCACCCTCTTCTCTGTTTCTTTTATTTCCGCCTGTCCCGAGGTGAGCTACTTTCCTCTGGTACCACCTAGCCTTACTGTTGAGTGGCCTTGAACTTAGAAATGTTTTCTTTAAAAAATGCATAGAAAAGATGAAAAGGGGAGAAAAACTATGATCCTGTTTATCTTTTGCACCGTGTTTTCTGTAGTTGTACAAAATCAGCAGGCAATCTTAAGAAGAGGTTTTAGAATTACAAGATTGTCCTCAGCTATAGAGCAGTCTCATTGCTGCCTGCACATACACAGTCTCTTCCATCAATGTCTCTATCAATGTGCTGTAGTTCTACAACATGACAAGCCAACTTCGGAAACTCATGTCAGCCAAAGACCACAGTTCACACCAGTATTTTCTAACACAATGGCATGTTTTATAAATGTAGTCAAACGTATAATGACATATCCATCATTAAAGTATCGATAATTTCCCTGGACCGAAATTATTCTGTATACTACCTAATCACCTCCCTTCACCCTAGACCCGGACAACTTTATTGGATTCTTTGTACGTGTCTCTATCTTTGTTGAATGTCACATAGTCTTGCCTTCTGGTGGATGTATTGTTTTTGTATTCCTATGAGAACTAAATGACATTTTCCACTATGTTCTATCCTTGTCCGTGTTTGGTGACATCAGTGCTTGCATTTAAGCTATTCTGATAAACCTGCAAGTAGTCTCTATCTCATTGCCTTAATTTGCAGTTTCCTAATTACATGTGATATTGAGTACCTTTTCATGTGTTTATTTTCTCTATGTGTATCTATTGTGAAATATTGCTGCATATCATTTTGTTTATATCAAAATTTTGGGTTGTTCATTTTCCTATTGATTTTTAAGATTTCTTTGTATACTTTGGATGAGTCTTCTAACAAATTTCTTTTTTGAAAATGTTTTGTAAAATGTGTTTTTCAATACTTTTCAAATTTTTATAAGCAACATTTTAATATTATAATTCAAATAAGTCACTAAAATTGTCTGTCTCTATATAAGATGATCACACCCTCAAGTATGCCTAGACAAGTTGTATGTAAATATACCATGCCTATTGTTAGGGATTTTTACTAACGTGAGCTCTCTGCTGAAGCAAAAATCCCAATCAAGCCAAATCACAACAAGCCAAATTACAAAATATCCAGGTTTACTGGGATTCCTGTGCTCTCAGGTGTCCCCAAAGGGTAACCAGGAGGCCGCTAACATGACCACCAGAAGGAAGGAAAAGAGACCAAGAGGAAACTTTCCAGGGAAGCAGTTTAAATAGACTGAGGGTGTGGTCAAGATTTTGGCAGGCTAGATTTTGTCTGGGACTTGGTGGGCACAGGGACAGGGCCTCCAAAGATGGAGGCCAGAGACTTGGGCTTCCACATGTTCTTCAGTGCAGCAGTGAGTCACTGAGTCTCAGAAAACAGACAAGATAAATCCTACAGGCATACATGCCCCGCTCTGCTGTTGTGATACATAGCCTCAGGTTCAGCCTGTTTCAGTGGGTTCCAGATCCTCAAAATGAGGCCTTTACCATGGCCTCAGACATAAAATCCTGAAAATCTTAGGTATCTAGGGTCAGACTGATAAATTTAAAATCCTGAATGGGCCACGTAGTAAAAAGTCCCCATATGTGTTGCTCTATCAAGACCACCATGAGATGTTCAAATCCTGCAAGTCAGCTCCCACGCTATGTAACTTCAAGAGATTGTCCTAGTTACATGGGATTCTCCTATCTAGAATGAGACTTGAAGTAAAAGGGCATTTGGAGTTGAGAAAGAACACGCACTACACTACTGGGAGGGCCTTTGTCATAATGGTCTCTGCCCTGTGATCAAGTTGTATATTCCTTCTCTATGCTTCATATTTATGAGATTTCTCCGGTATCTCAGGGTTCTAGAGGGTGAAATATGTCTAGTCAGTTCGGGTTGCATCTTGCTGGAGGCTACTCCAATCCCAGGATGCTACCATTTTCCCAGGGTTGGAACCCTCTGTCCTTTGACTCCATTTGGTGCCTGTTATACGCTCATGTTTTTCAGTTCCTGCCCCATGTCCCTGGGTCAGACTTTCTGTGAGTTATGAAGATAGGATCTGATTTACAACCTTGATTTTGGCTTCACTCTTTTTTGTCCTTGGGAGTTTTCTATGCCCTGCATTTATTTCTCTCTCTCTCTCTCTCTCTCTCTCTCTCTCTCTCTCTCTCTCTCTCTCTCACTATGCTGCATGGTTACCTTTTGATATTTTTGGCAAATAATTAAGGTAATGATTATAAATTTTAGATAAAATAAACATAAAACACCCAAGTAAGTAAAAGTGAAACGACAGAAGAAGATGGAATTTTTTTCATGTAAGGCCAGGTTTGTCTGACTCTTCTCTTCACGAACCGGGGACTAGACAGAGGCAAAGTCTTAATTTCATTCTGTTCTAACGACCAGAAGCATCCTAGGGGAGGAAAGCCTTAGCTTACAGGTTGCTATCCACCACTGAGGAATGTCAGGGCAGGAAATCAAGCAGGTACTTTTGATCCATACTTTAAGGCAGTCCTGCATCGATGTGAGATAAAGGCTGGCGGAGAAAATCCGGTCCAGAGGGACCAGTGGGACGGGGAATATTTGTAGCTACATTGTATGCTGTTCCACACAACGTTATCTCAAATATAGGAAATTGCTTCACATCCAAAAAGTACAGCAATTCCTGATACCTGGCTTGTGGGCTGGTTTATACCTAGCCAGCTTTCTTATGCATCCCAGGACCACCTGCTCAGGGAATAGGACCAGCCACCATGACCTGGGCCCTGCTACATCAATACCCTACAGACATGCCCACGGGCCAATCCAGTCTGGGCAGTCTGTCGACCAACACTCCCTCCTCGGGAGATCCTAAGCCGTGTCAAGTTGGCAGTTCATCTGACTAGGAAAGACAAGGAGTCCCAGTTGTCAACTTAGTCCCCTCTGACCACAGGCTAGCAAAACACACGGAGCCTTCCACATGCCAGTTTGCCACAGGGAAGCAGCAGTGAGGAAGAGAGTACAGAGTTTCAGAATAGGTAAGTGGAGGCTCTTACGGTTAGAACCGTTAGACAGAGGGAGCTATCCACTGTGACCTTGACCGAGTTTCCAGATGTTAAACCAGACCCCACATATTTGAGAAAGATATTTTGCTTTATTTGAAAGCCCTGACTCTTGAGTTCTGGAGACTGCATGTTGTCTTCTGTGTCTGCGATGACTCCAAAGCATCTGAACATGACCTTTCAGTCATGAAACTGCCTTCAAGCCCATGAGGATGCAAGGCAAATATTGGCTGAGTGCATGGAAACCATGAATATTCATTAGTTGCCCTCACCCTGATGATGATTAATACCCTAATGGCCATGAATGTTTGAACTCTTTTATGAACAACTCAGTTTGAGAATGGCTTATCCTGTCTATGTGAAAACCAATTCTGTCTATATCAAAAACCATGACAGCTGACTAATATGGACGCTCCTTGAAGCAAACTTAGTTTCCTGTGAGAAAACACTGCTCAAAAGTACAATTTAAGGATTAGTGTTAAGTTTAGAGTGAAGGAAAGGGTTTTGTTAGCTTACAGTAGACAGTTCATCATCACATAAAGGTAGGACAGGGACTCATACATGTGCTGAGTCAGAAACCATAGAGGAATGCCGCTCCCTGGCTAATTCTCCATGGCTAGCTCCCCTTGCTTTCTTTACAACCCAGGACTTCCTGCCCGGGGATACACCTAATGACAGTCAACTGAGCACTCCCACATCAATCCTTAATCAAGACGGTGCCCCCACACACACCCACAGGCCAATCTGATGGAGGCAGATTCCTTTATTGACGTCGCTTCTTCCCAGGCAACTCGGGTTGTGTCAGCTTTACACAAACTGAGCAGCACATGTGTTTATGATGTCCACCAATAGAATGGAGGAAGGAGCTTATAGCTATGTCCTCAGATCACACTCCTGAGCTATTAGCAGGATAGGCACCGCATGCACACGCACGCAGGCACGCGTGCGCACACACCACTTATTCTAGTACGGTGTAGAGGCTGCTGGAGGGAGAACATGCATCTATGACACTTTGACTTATATCTAAACATCTTGGTAGTATGATCTTAAACAAAAGAACCATTTCCTTACAGTCTCCCGATTTTGCAGAAGAGCACAGTACTCCCTCTGTCACGAGAGGATGATGATGATAAACCAGGAAACCATGTTCATGATCGGTTTTGACGCTGCCAAGTGCTCTAAGTGTCAGGAATAGAAAACTATGTATGTTTGTATCTTTTGAATAATTAAAGAAATTATAGCCAGGCAAGGGAGGTGCACACCTTTAATCCCAGCACCTGGGAGACAGAGGAAGGTGGATCTCTCTGAGTTCAAAGCCACCCTGGTCTACAGAGTGAGCTCCAAGGTAGCCAGAGATATGTACAGAGAAACCGTGTGTCAAAACAATATATGTAATTTTATTCATGCCTTATTTTATCTTGGCACTGGACTTTAAATATATCCATTGCACATTAAAATAGATCTTTGGTTTAGGGAACAAATAAAAGCTTCAGGAGGAACATTAACATCATTAGAATAAAATCCTTCTTTTGTTTCTTGTTTCCTTTCAGGCCAACCGAGCAATAAGCACCATTGGGTTGGTGGCGGCTGCTATTGATATCTTCGCATTCCTCGGCTTGTTTCCAAAGAAACAAAGAACAAAATATTAGCAATTTACTGAAGAGATTGGAATTGAAGGAATCTGTAAGGAGAAAGAAATTCTGGGGCGAATACTTATTTTGAACGCATCATAATTTCTCCCGGTCCCCATGATGGATGGCAGACTCTGTAATAAATTGCTTGCTGATTTTAATCTTATCATTGAGACAAGGAAAGTTTTTCCCCTCGCTAGTATAGACTTGCTGTGGCAGCTTAAACAAAAAGCAGTTGCCTTTTGATGGAGCCAGTTGGGGAGCTTAACAAAACCAAGATTACATTTTATCTTCTGTAAATATTGTTTCCTTTTCCCCAAAGGACAGCCATTTTGCCAGAGGGGTGAAAGTTATTTGCATATGCTTCTGAAAGACAATTGTCAAGGCCAATGTCTAAATTCATATTCCTTTTCTTGTCAGAAAAAAAAAAGGAAAGTGGATATTTCCAGTATTGGTTAGGCGACAACTCGAGGATCTCTGAATGACAAAGCATCTGATTGCTACCCCTGTGGAGGTGTGAGAATTGGAAGGGCTTTTGTGTGTGCACTGCTTAGGGTGCTTATAAATGGTGTGCATGTGTGGCGACAGTCTTGGGTGCCAGTCTTTGTTCTCTGAGACAGGGTATATTGCCCTTCACATCTTAGGGCAGGCTGCCTAGCCCATTTGCTTCCTGAAAGCCTCTTGTCTTTATCCGTGTTTCAATGTAGGAGATCTGGAATTACAGGTATGCACTATGAAGCCAAGCTTCTATGGAAGCTGGAGATCTAAACTCAGGGCCTCAGAATCATGAGTAAAATGCTTTCCCCACTAAGCCACCTCCTGGATTTTTGCTGTGCTTGCAGACTCAGTGGGTTCCCTAGAATCTACTTGTTTGACAGGGATCAGTGATGGGCAATGGGTTGTATTTTTATTGAGTTAAATTGTTCCCACTAGGTTGTATAGTAGCTCAGTGGCTTGCTCTTTGAGCCTTGGCAAGTGATCATTAATATTGATGTAAAGTGCTATATTTAGAATACAAAATCCCATATCCCTTTAAAGACTTTTACTGTAAACCAAGGAATCCCATTATTTTATTCCTTCGTTTTATTGATTATGTGTTGAATTAAACTACCTTTAAATACCATGCCTGTGGAATTCTCAGTAGCAGCAAGTCCAGGAAAAGTGGAAGGTAAGTCTCTCTACACGAAGATAATGTCAGGTCATCATAGTATTACACAGGCAGCCTGGCAGCCTGTTGGTACCATTATTAAAAGCATGTCAGTCAATAAGGAAAATACATCTGTAAATGTGGGGATAGGATGTGATTGGAATATAGTAAAGTAACTACATGAGACTCAATGGAAACCTCACACCTATGAAACTGGTTTTCCCCTGGGGCTAGGAACACTCAAGCCAATGGAGGTGGGCAAGAGTAATGGTCAGCAGAAGAAGTGTGTGCTGCCATCCCAGCCCCGGAGACCCTCTGTCTCTTCTTTAAGTTTCCTTAACAGGCCCTTCTTATTCTAACCCCTAACTTATTCTAACTCATTCTTCTCCGCATGGTCTTCTGGGAAAGCGTGAGGACACTTTTATCCTGGATGCAGGTCTCTGTTCCTGAATAGCAAAGCATGCACCATTTCCTAGGATTGTCCTCTCAAGGTGAGGCCAGCTGCAACCGCTGGGTTACTTTCCCCTGGTATGCCAACTTCTCAATAAAACATCTTTAGAGAGGGAAAGCAAACTCATAGCACAGCATTTGTCTTCGACAGAATTATTCCACTAGAGGAAGTAGTAGAATTCAGAACCAAAAACCTCCTGGGACTCGAAGTCAAGTCTTTCTAGAGAAGTCTAGCATCTCTGCTGTGGGATAATGCTTGGTGCACTTGTAAAGATTTGTCACTTGTATATGCTTAATAAATGGTGATTGACTAGTAGCCAGGCAGAAAGTATAGGCGGAGCAACCAGACTGGGAGAATTCTGAGAAAAGGAAAGGCAGAAAGTCGGTTACCAGCCAGATGCAGAGGATGCAAGATGAGATTGCCTCACTGAGGAAAGATACCAAGCCACGTGGCTAAACATAGATAAGCATTATGAGTAAATTTAAGTTGTAAGAGCTAGTCAATAATAAGCCTGAGCTAATAGGCCAACTGGTTTATAATTAATATAAGCCTCTGTGTGTTTCTTTGGGACTGAATGATTGCGGGACATTTACACATCTCCACTCCAGAAGATGAACAACATATTTAAAAAAAATGTCAGAAATTCACTTTTTAATTTATGGGTTCATTTCCTTTGGCAGCCTCAATTTGCCATGGAAATGGCCGACCAGTCTTAGGATGAGCAACTCAACATAACTGGCTTTACTTTCCTGTAGGTACTCATTATCCATACAATTAATGTGACTTGTGCTTGGACCAGTTTTTTTCTCTACAGTCTGTAATGGAAGTTCAACTCTATCACCTTCCAAAAGATGAAATGCAATGATCATCTACAACAGGTGATAGGTTGCTGGTAAGACAGAAGGAAAAGCCTGTATTTTACTGAATGTATACATTTAACAAATAAAGGCTGCTATCTAAATGTTATACCATATCAAATGAATCTGTTCATTCCAAGAGTCAATTTACTGAGTTTGACTCTCAGCTAAAGGAAACTTTCACCTCTATACTTTCAAGGATGCTTTACATTTTTAAAATGATAAGCTAATGTGCTTTTAAAACAAAATTTATTTTGCTTTTGATGCACAGTTGTGCACACATGTGCACCTGCATAGACCAAAAGAGGCATTGGTTAAACCCTCTGGAGCTGGAGCTACAAGAGGTTATTAACTGCTCAATGTGGCTACTGGCCTCCAAACTGCTCCTCAGCAGCACTCAACTGCTGAGCGTCTCTCTATCCCTAAAATCTTTTTAAAAGGACTTTTAATGTTGTTGTTTTTTGCTAGTCACTGTATCAGTTACTTTTCTCATTGTCATTAACTACCTGGCAGAAGCAACTAAAGAAAGGAAGGGCTTCCTTGGCTCACAGTTTTGAAGGGATCTCAGTCCTTCACACAGGAAGGTATGTGGGCAGAAGCGTGGAGCATCTGACCACACTGTGTCCACAGTCATAATATGGAAGAAAGGGACACAGGTGCTCAGCACCCTTTCTCCTTTTTCTTCTATCAGGAACCAGGACCATGGGTGGGCAATTCCTCTCATGTCAGTAAAAACTTTGGAGAAACATCTTCACAGACATACCACAGATGTCTTCTCTACATGACTCTATTGGACTCTCTAAGTCCAATCAACTTGGCAATGAAAATCATTACAGCCAATAAATCAGACAGATTTAAACTTATCCTTCTCCAAACAACTGTGAACATACAAAAAAGCTTAATGGCAAATGTATTTTTTTAGGTATGCACATTGGTGCTGCTAGTTTGAGTATCAGTGTCCATAATGCCATTTACAGCCATAATTTGCTAAAATGTTGAAAACTAAAGATTTCAAAATGGTAAGCCAACAGCCATCTTATAGTGAATCAATACACTGTGGTACTAGTCACATAGTCGCTGTTCATGGGGTTCAACTGAGAAACTGACCATGATTGCAGATGATCTGTTGAATTAACAAACTTACATTTAGCATTTAAAAGAAAACCTAGTAGTTAATTTCAAATAATCCACCAGAAATACTGCCTCTGGAGCTCACAGCCAAGGTGATCCCCGTTAAAGGGACTAACTCATGGGGAGGGCTCGCTGTGAAGGATGCTTCTATTGTCTTTCATGAACAGCTACAATGATCTGCATAATCCGACTGATGAAATACTTGCCCAGTAGCCTGGAGTCTCATTCAGGGATCAAAGCCTTCTTAAGAATTTTGTTTGTAAGATGATCAATGATGAGATCAGGGAAGTTTCTAAAGTCAGATTTTGATGTTTTGTGTATTAATAATAATAAAGACGGGAACGTACTTTATGAAGTGAAAAACACATTTAAACAGTTTATTGCTTTAATGTACCTGGAACTGCCATGTTCACTGGCCCCGTACAATAAATGCTGGGCATGCACAGAGTTGGTGTGGTTTGCTTATATTTTAGCAGTGCCCACACCGCGCTGATCTCTGTAGCTCTCCACTTCCGCACATCTCCGGCTTCCTGTGCAGTTAGGGTGGAATTCTTCTTCCTTTTGTCCTCTCTCTATTGAAACCATACCAAAGATGTAACAGAAGGAGGGACTTGGTGATCCTGGGCCAAGATAGGTACAATAATGTGCTTCACAAATTAGCATAAGATTAAGGAAACTTAGCATCGATTAATACACCAGCCAAACTTTCGAATACTAAAATGCTTTGATTTTTTTTCTTCTCTCTTGATGTCCATACCTCTAATGTCATTGCATGAGAGCTGTGCAGTTAAAAAGAAAGTTCAACATGATATAGTTTATTAAAACGGTGATCCGAGATGTGCAGGGTTTTCTCTCGCTAGTGAAGGGTATAATGAATGTAAGGTTCTTTGATGCAAGGCTCGATATATTGAAGTGCTCTGAATGCTTAGATGGAGAGAGAAGAGCGGGGTCTGCAACTTTCACCTCTCCACAGAGTTCAGTTTGGAGGCCAAAGGGTGACGATGCGGAACAAGCCTGACAGCTGCTCCGGTCATAGTCTGGTCCAGAAGTGTTGTTCTGCAGCTTGCCCGCCCAGCCGGAGTCTCCCTTTAGGGACCTGTTCAGGGCTTTCATAGGCTCTGTTGATGTAGAATCCATTTTTGCCATCGTCTGCATAATCTGTCCTGTTCACGGGAGGCCAGGTAGAGTCTTCTGCCAGCTTCCTCTGCAAGATCCTGTACTGACTTTTTGAGTAGAATCCAAATTCTTTCTTTATCAACAGCCAGAGCTCTCTATTTTGAAGGATGGCATCCTGAAAAATCAGGGGAGAGGTGATAATGAAATCACTGTGACTAATAAGTGAGCCCCTCACAGCCAGACAGCACTGGGAGTCTGGGACCCCAGGCTTCCTCTCAGCTGAGCTCAATGCTGCTGCTGGTGCTGTTTCCCCGGGGAGCTGAGATGTTTTCAGGCACAGAAACCTGCTGAACACGAGAGGCCTGTGTTTTCTTCAAGATTTCCTGGTGAAATCCTGGCTGGGGATTCATTTACAGTTCTTTCACTAAGGGTTCAAACTAACAATAACACACCACATATCAGGA